CGAACACAGGGAGGTTGAGGTTATTGACGACAGTGATTTTAAGGCAGTTTTTTATGGCAATACATGGACAGTAGAGTGGAAATGGAAAAGGGATCATCCCCACTTGAAGAATAAGATCGGATGTTATGGTAAACAGATGGATATGGAGACTACGGAAGGGTTTGAGAAAGAGATACAAAGTTGGATAGAGGAAGGAATACTTTTACCATGGAATGCGAAAGTAGAAATAGGCATAATTCTGCTTATGGCTGTTGTTCAACCTACCAAGAACAAGGTAAGACCTGTCCTTGACTACAGAGAGCTCAATAAATATGTATGTAGTCACACGGGGGGGTGACTTCACGGATGTATGCGGCGAGACATTGCGAGAGTGGAGACAGACGACAGACGCAGCAACGATTGTCGACCTGAAAGGTGCTTTCCTTCAAATTCGGGTGGAAATATCAACTAGTGAATTTCAAAGGTAAAACATATTGCCTGACAAGACTTGGATTCTGGCTTACATCGGCACCCCGCATCATGACGAAAATCTTGAAAACGTTATTGAGTAAGGATGAGAAGATAGACTCTGCCACACAGTCCTTCATTGATGACATTCTGCTGGATGAGAGCAAGGTAACATCTGCGGTACTGGTGAAGCACCTGGGCAACTATGGGTTGACAACGAAAGAACCAGAGCAATTGGATGGTGGTGCTGCATTAGGCTTGAAGTTGAAATCTAATTCCGCAGGAGATCTCATATTTTCCAGAGTCAACAGGATTCCCCATGCAGTGTCTTAAGTCACCAAACGGCAGTTGCTCTCGATCTGCAGATAACTTACAGGTCATTATCCTGTTGCTGGATGGTTAAGAATAGCTTGCAGCTACATAAAGAGAAGGGCAAATGGTACTGATTGGGAGGAGATTATAGTAGATGAAGGGGAGAAAATGTTGAAGGAAATGTTGAGCCGCTTGACTAATGAGGATCCTGTCAAAGGCAAATGGTACGTGCCTAAAGCAACCAAAGGAACCGTACAGTGTGATGCTAGCAGTATCGAATATGGTGTGTTACTTGAGGCCAATGACAACGTGGTAGAGGATGCTGCATGGCTTCAAAAACCTTCAAATTTTGATCACATCAACGTAGCAGAGCTGGAGGCTGTGATGAAAGGTGTAAACATGGCCATCAAGTGGAACATCTCTGAAATCGAAGTTTTTACTGACCCAACAACGGTGGCTGGTTGGATCAAAACTCAGAAGAGAGGAGAGTGCACACCAAAGAGGCAGCAGAGTCGATTGTGAAGAGATGATTAGGGATATTGAAAAGCCTTATTAATGAGTTTGGTCTGTTATGTCGATAACCTTGGTTCCTACCAGAAAGAACAAAGCAGACATTCTGACAAGAGTGAAAAAGGAGTGGTTAAGCACTGGCGGGTATGGAATGGAGGAGGGAGAACCAGACCATGCGTGTGTGCTACTGGTCATCTTGACTTGAAAGACTTGCACTATATGCACCATGTGGGGGTAGACCCTACTTTGTATCTGGCTCGGAAGGTGCTACCAGAAACGAGCTGTGCTGATGTGAAAAAAGTCGTACAAGCTTATGAGCAATGTCAGTCTATCCATCCTGCACCAGTTGTCCATGAGGCGGGCAACTTAGATGTCGCTACAGGCTGGACAAGATTGGCAATAAACATAACTCACCATCATCAAGTGCCATACCTGTCAATTGTTAATTGTGGCCCAGGGTGATTCGCAATTTGGAAGAAACTGAAGAGAGAGACAGCAGGGTTTGTGACAGAAGTAGTTGAAGAACTCATGTTTGAGAGAGGACCAGTGCCCGAGATCTTAATGGATAATGGCACAGTGTTTCACTCAAATTGTTTTTGGCAGATACTTCAGAAATGGAATATCAAACCATTGTTCAGAGCTGCATACAGGCCTACAGGGAACGGGATTGTTGAGAGACACCACCGTACAGTGAAATCCATTGCAGAGAGAAGAAACATCTCCCTGCAAAAAGCTGTGGTTTGGTACAACTCAACACCAAGAGCAGGTTTGGACCCAGCATCAGTGCCACAGAGAGCTGTCTACCGTTATGTTTGGAGAAACCATATCATTGTCAATGAAGAAGAAATTCAAGACAGGCAAGGAAGATTTAAGGTTGGAGATGATATTTGGGTTAAACCACCCTAGAGCAAATGCAATACCAAGAGGAATAGAGGTACGGTTACGGGAGTAAACTCAATCAACAATGTTGCTGTCGATGGTATGGCTCGTCATGTTCTCGATGTTAGAAGAGTGGTACAAGATGTAACTTCAGAGGAAGAGGATGGTGAGGGAGGTGGCAGTGAGCCTCAGACCTTGCAAACCTTGATGAGAAATGAAGGTACAGGTGAACCCCCTCCCAGGCAGTATCCTAATCGAGTCAGGAAAACCCCCGGTTTGTTGGTGGATTATGAAACTCGGTAAATGAAGTAATCAAGTGTACAAAGTGTAGATAGCGTTGGACCATGTCCTGTTTGCACATTGAAGTTGTTTATTTTGTTTTGTTTGATCTTGAGATCACGGGGGCATGTGGTTGACTGGTTGATTTTGGGAAAGTAATCGAGCATGGTACCTATTGACATTGAGAAGAGAAGAAGGGCAGGCAGAGGCGTGAGCCACGACTGTGGAAGACTGCGTGAGTTGCAGTCGAGGCGCAGCGCAGAGAGTTGTCACCAGTCAGAGCAAGTTGGATCGCTACATGAGGTGGGTGTGCATAGTTAAACACTAAGCGTGTATAGTTAAACTACACTTAGTATAGCCTATACTTTTCCTATTACCAATTTAGGCCTGGTTGAAGTTCAATAGTGGCTTTCCTTGGTCTGTGAGTCTAATTTTTTGGGGTTTAATTTTAGGCTTATTAGGGGAATAAAAAACCTTACAGGACTGGGACGATAAGCCTCGCTTGGAAGCACTGAACATTAAAGAACGTAGACAGCTTCTATATGTTCTCTAGGCCTAACTGAAAGATAATATTTTTAGGTAGATCTATTGTATGACAACACTGCGGACAGGAAATACTGCTTACACCGAGTTGCACTGTCTTGTCATTGTTGTCCAAGAGTCTTTCGACTAATTATTTGCTCAAACTCAGATGAATATGATAATGACAGATGAGCAAGACTACGTTATAGTCTACTTTGGTGCAAACAATGTCAGAAACAATTGTTAGATCCAATCTAGATTTAGATCTAGATCTACCCTAAATTGATCGGAATAAGACAATGTCATAAAAACAGGAGTCAAATCCTCGGAGGTTTATCAAGAAACTGAGAAAGCTTCTACAATTCTGGCAGAACTACAATATAGAAACCAGAGGCGGTGGGTAGTGAAGGGCTCATGGGCTTGAGCCCCTACCCCCTCCCCTCCCACCACCCCCAACTCTATCCGAAAGTAAATGAAATAAGCAGTTGAAACCGTTATGACCGCACGCAATGAACACAGAGTGATCATCTTGGCGGCTTGCTCGCTTTTATCCAATCACTGTTGTCACCGCTTACAACTATAGTAACCCAGCAGCCAATCAAATGTCTTTAGGGCTCAGAAAAGATGAGCCCTTGTCCCACAGCTAATCCTTAATGAAACTCTTCATGAAAAAAGGTACAAGACTGGGAAAAAATAACACTGTACCGAGGGCTAACGCCCTCCTAGCCCTGACAATGGGGTGAAAGTTTACGACACACTTTCCCCCACTGACACAGATACTAGATACCTTAACAGAGGGACACAATATATTATTATTATCATTTGAAAAGGATGGGTTTGTACAGTAGTTTGTACAACAAAGTCGCTAGGCTAAGTAAGTAAGTCAATATTATAATTTATTGACTCCTACCCTTAATTCACTTCAGATGGTTCACACTCGCGCAGGCGAGTCTTTTGGCTATTCTCACCCGGTGTGCGTTCACCGTTATAGCCTAGATCTAGGCCAACCAATTTTGCGTTCACCCTGAACCACAGAATTCTACACTGTGATAACAGAAAAATTGTAGAATTCTGTGCCGTGAACATACGTTCCATTACTACTGTTAGCCTAAAAGCGTACAATTTTGTCTGTGGGCAGTGGAGAGAGAGAGAGAAAGAGAGAGAGGGAGAGGAGTAGCACGAGAACTTCCGGGCAAAACGAAATGGCGACCCGCGTAGTTCGGCTCAATTCGAAAAGTTAAATAGCCATAGCATCTTTGTCTTTGTAGACGACCAAATTAATTTACTTTTGTGTTTTAACCCCCGTCCCGCTATGCGCGTTCATCTACGCGAAGTAGGTCACTGCTCGAATAGCGCTGCGTGCGTACATCTA